GAAAATATACATGTGATAACTTCGGTATCTCATCATCTTTAAAGTTTATGCTTATGAAATGGAAGCTCTAAAGTTTTTTATATAGAAATAGACGCTCAGTCTTAAACTAGAGTGCTGAATATTCATAGTAATAGCTCATCTGATCTTTGACCGTTTTAATGGGCAGATTGATGCCTTGCAGAACTATTTAATCTGAGAGAAACGTATTTCCTTTATTGATTTCTGAAGTTGAACGGAATATCTGAGCTGAAACTTTAATGATGTACTTAAGATAATTACTGCTAATTAGTTCGCTCAAAAACATACAAATCTCATTTGATTTAATCCCATGAATAAAAAGAAGAACGCGGGATATGCTGTTGTTTATTGGTTATAGGAACACAGTTCTTTTCTCCTTGGCGCAGGGTTTATTTGGAAATCTCAAAACTTGTTTGGTAAAAGCATATAGTCTCCTTTTTATTCCTTCTCGTTATATCGTTACCAAAATTACAGTTAATTAAGATTGAACTTCCTATATTAAAACCATTTCAGTGGAACATATTCAAGGTAAATATTCAGCCTGATTGAGAAATCTAAACAGGTATTTTAAAGAATATAAATGGAAAAAATTATTGAAAAATTATAACCATGCATTAAGATTTTTATTTAATTCGTTCCCTGTATTCTAATTCATTTTTTTTTTGCATTATAATTTTTTCTTATTCTTTATTGATGCAAAAAGTATTGAGTATATGTATTTGCATTTAGCATTTGCAACGCTAAATGAAATGTAACGCCGTGCAAAATATCTAGTTAATGCCTAGCTGAATCTTAAATTCAAGTTTCTCCAGTAATGCGGGAGATATTTTGACCTTAACGGGCTTACTACTATATTGTGTGTATGAAGTACAAAATGATAAATAAAAAAGCTATTTTGATGACAACTAATGATTTAAATCCTTGAATGAAACATATTGAGATAACAAAACAATATTCATGCTAGTTTAGCATTCCATACGACAATACAAAAAAGGAGTAAAACATTGACATCCAAAACATCAGGGCTGGGATCATGTGAACTGGAGGAGTGAGTGGACACAGAGTTAAGAGGCTGTGAAATCAGATGTTAAGTTTATCCATAAGGTCACTTCTACTGCAATAGTGGATCTTACCTGTAATTTTAAAACACATATTAGAGAATACCCGGTGTGTTAACCAGACAAGTGTAAGCATATTTGTAAGCATGATCTTTTCTTGTTTGTTACAAACTTCTTCATCAATTTTTAAATAGACACCCCAACTGTCCTGATGTTTATTTTTAATGTTCCCTGTTTCAGCCTTCTTTGTTTTGTGTATCAATGTTTAAATAACGTATATACTCGCCTATAAGTCGGTCCTCCTATAAGTCGGTTGTATTTTTTGAGGCTATTTGGCAGGGATTTGCCATTGACCCGCTTATTAGTCGGTACAACGTTTTGCTAGAACCACATGACAATTTCTAATGAATGCTTTGTAGTTTTACCCTGATTTCAATCAATTTTTTTTTATAAATGAAATCGATATTTAACTTTAAATTATAGAAATATAGATGATGCCCTCTTGTAATTGATAACAATAAATATATTAAAACATGTATATAAAATACAGGTAATTTATGTATAATAATATAATACAAATGTTTATAGAATACTATGATTCGCCAACCAGAAAAATACCAGTTTTTTATGACAAGCCTATAAGTCGGACATAGACTTTTGGACTAAAATTTAACTCCCAAAATACCGACTTATAGGCGAGTATATACGGTATACGTCGCTGACTTTAACAAGTTTCATTCAACATGTATCGTAAAGGATCGACAAATAGATAATAGTAACCTTGTAAAATATGCATTATTTGGGACATAAAAAGAAAATGAAATACATTTCAAACATAAGACTCAACTCATGATATGTTAATAAATGTATCTCAGAGATACAAGAATGAAAATACCAGGTAACATCTTTACTGATTTTTTTTTTCTATCTTTGTAATAAATTGTTCAAGATGAGGTACTAAACAGGAAATAAACGATAAACCTCACCACTGACACAGTCTTTGCAGCACGCTATGAAAGTAATTTGTTTCTTTGTATTTTCAGGTAAGTTTTAGTTGATTCAACATTTCTTAGGATATAATTATTAAACTATACTAGGTTATACAATCCTTGTTATATTGGGGTTTGACCAAGATAAAGTAGTATACTAGCATTGGAATAAGGTTATATAATTTACGTAAACTATTTCCTCTTACTTATTGACAATAAAAAAACCCACCTCTCTCTCACTCTCTCTCTGTCGGTAACAATTTACTTCCTAAATTGACAAAGTTGCAAAGGTATTTTACAAGTGAAAGAGGTCAACTTCTATCTTACTGAAACGCATGATATATATTCACATACCAATGTGAGTAGTATAGTGTGAGCTAATGTACGCGCTCTCATCAAATTTCCACATCGCTGACGTCAGAGGACGAACCCCAGTCCAATGAGGCACCAGGATTAATGAGGGAAAGAGGGGTGGATCACACCGCAGGTGGTGTTTTTTTATGAAGTATTGACCAGTGTATGAAATATAAGTTAAAGACTAAATAGTTGATTTAATTTTTAGACACTGTATATACGTACACATGCGGAATATTAGCATAAGTTTTAACAATGTTGTGAATAGAACACGTCAGATAGACTGATAATACTGTGTGGCGGAGATAGAATGATAATACTAAGTGGCGGAGATCCCCGCTGTGCGTATGGCTTATCAAAAGCCCGATATGGACATTTTACACGTCGATTTCAATAATATATTTTATATCGTATTTCACTATTAGCGGGACATATCACCGTTTGTTCAATAGGAACATTTATAAATTAATGAAAAATTTGGAGAGGAAAAAAATCAAACTTTTTAATTATGTATCCTTTTTATTATTGAGACCAACCAGAAGGTTTCATTGTCACAATATAGATATATGTGACAAATTTTCTCACACACACTGAACGACTTGTATATATAGTGCAGTGATGTTGTCGAAAGATAAATTTACTTTTTACAGTGTTAAAAAAATTACTATACTTAGCAGGCAAAGCGTGATAACTCGTGGTGGCATATCGAAGTATCGAATTTTCATTATATATATATAGTATTTAAGGAATTCTGACCCTCAGCCAGGAAGGACAACTCTTTAATGTATAATTAAGTTCAAAACGTCTCAAAATGAAGCTTGAAAATTAAATCTTTTTTATGCAACATTTTTCAATATATGCCTTTGAATGTGTTTCAAAAAAATCTTTAAAGATCTCAGAAAGGACTGATGTACAAATTTTCTAACACACACATGTATTGGGTATAGTGATGTTGTCTAAAGATAAATTTACATTTTACAATGTAGAAAAAATTACTATATTCAGTGTGTAAAGCGTGATAACTCATGGTGACATATCGAAGTATCGATTTTTCATTATATATGATAGTTAATACATTTTCTTTTTAAAAGTTTCAATTGATAAACTTATTCAAGAAAGTGGGATGGGGTCATAACGATGAGACATCTCGGTTTCAGTAAAGAAAATGCATACCTATCAAATCGCGCTGAGCAAACACAGGTCGACCCTGCAGATTTGCAACAGCAAAACGGGTCACTTTTTTCTAACAAAACAAACTCGGCTATGTTAAGGAAGGTCAGAGTTCATTTTTCTCTGTACATCGTTTAATTGTGATGTCATTGATATTTAAGAAGCCACAAAAATAAATTAACAACAAGAACATGTCGGCAAGGGCATAGACTATTTTGTTTGAGCTGAAATTTGGAATATACTTTGCTTTGATAATTTTTTTAAAAGAAGCACTACATATAAAAACGGTGCAAAGGTCACATTTTCCGTATCGGTCCTTGCATGTAACATAGCTGAGAATACAGTCAAATACACGAAGAAGCTCTTCATTTAGGCATTTGCTTTACTGTACTTCTGATGTAAAATAGTGCCCATGATATTCACAATTCAAAAGTAATTTATAAGTAGGAAGTATTTAGGAACATCCTGCATCAGAATTATGCATTTTCCCCATATTTTTCATAAATAATGTGCAATATTTTTGGTTGATATATCCTTCTGTTTATTTATGTCTCCCGTCATGGTAACCTATACATCTTTTGCAATAATTGAAATATTCTAAGTATGTCTAATGAAAATAAATGCAGATTTTGAACTTTGAACCATTAGAATTGAGAGTGTGAAAAGACCTTAAACCAGTTTGACACCCCCCAGATTCAGATTGGTCATTATATTGGCATTGCCAGTAAAAAAGCATACCCAAATCAGAGAAGATAAATATTGTTTACAATTTATAACTAGTAAGAATCACAGTGGTTTGAAACCGACAATTCTAAACATGATTGTTAAGCAGCTGCAGATAAAAGACAAAAGGATACCCTATACATGTTTATCATCAAATGTAGCTTAAATACAACTTTAGATGGTACTAAATTATACATAATGTACGAATAATTTTGTTATCGTACAATCTTAAAGACATTAATAATGTACACTGTACCTGTAAAATGCATACAAGTCTGTTAATATATGCCCTTTAATAGCATAAATAACATGTTTCTCAATCTGCAAATATTTATGACATTTACTAGCGCAATAAAATTATGTCACATGTATTGAAAGTTATCGAAAATTTTATTTCTTGTTTCAGCTGTATTATTAGGCGTTTCAGGAAGCTTAAGATGTATATTCCCGAAATATGGATATTATTACGATGACGTTGACGGAATGTTGAAGAAAGGTAAACACTACATCTTTGTTTACTGCGGCTACCATGGCTACTGTAACTATGAAATCAGTTCCTGTGACTATGTTTACCACCTTTGAAGCAGCGTGTAAGTGAATTTCTTACAATTCTCTGTATTCTACTAATAAAACGTGTGTTTTTGGACCTTTGATCAGGATTTCTTATTTACTTCGTTTTAAGGAGTGTCGGAGATATTATTGGTGCGGTCGTCGGTGGTTTAGCTGGCCTGGCAATACTGGTCGCTATTTGTGTAGTAATGGCTTGTGTTTGTGCATGGCAACGTAGGAGTCCTGGTCAAGTTATTTATACCATTCGTCCTGGAAATACAGCGGTCGCATACAACAATGGTAAGTTCTTTAAATATTTATCGGAAATGTTTTATTTTACATAAAATGAGGTTTACATGCAGTAATGTATATTTTTTAAAAAGACACTAAAGCAGTTACTGTAGATGCATGACATTTTTTTCTCTATATTTTGAGTGACCATTTTTTTTTTAAAAAAAGGAAATACGACCAATTTTCAATGTTAAAACAGATAAGTTTTCCTATTCTACAGCTACAACGCAGTATCCAGTCGGAGTTCAACAACCTGTGTATACAGTTTTTACAACGAACGAAAACATCACCAAACCCCAGTAAAAAGAAGTGGCATAAAATAATCAAATAAATAGAATACCTCTTGTCCTAAAATATGCAAACGATTAATTACATGTATCTGTTACGCATAAGTTATGTACTCTATTGAAATTATTTGTCATTTATGCAGTCTGACTTTCGAAAAACTAATATCTAAAATAGCTAGCATATTCTGCTGAAAGGTCTTCGAAAAATTGAATTTTGTGTATATCTAGCGATAATTATTTAAAGTTCTTTTTCCATATTACCAGCTTTTTCCTGCTGATCATTGTTATAACAATTTACCTTTTATTACAATGTAAATATATATGTTTATTCACCAATCAAGGGCCCACAGGGGGCATGAACAATTATTACAAAATGATAACATTGATTACAATTCTATATTAAGGATGATGTAACATGACTAGTGATTAAGTTTGACATTGAGAAGTGCATCACCACACTGGATCAAAAGCATAGAAACCATAGAATGATTAAAAAAAACACAATTAAATAAAAATGATAGATATAAGGTAAATTAAAAAAAAAATCTTGTATAGTAATGGCAGTATTCTAATATAAAACTAGTGCATCTTGAATACAAAAAGCACCAGGGGATGATACCTCTACACAGCCAGTCTGGCAAACCTGTACCCTAAGTATTGAAGATGGTCATTCCAAAAAAAAAAATCATTTAAGTATTAACAGAAATAGTAATTTCAATTAATAAGTACTTAGCATATAATTATAAACTTAATGCAAACTAATCTCTTGGAGTTAGTTCAATAGATATTTGACATGTGCATACCCACATACACAAACATACACTTACTGTTACGCAAATCCATGCATACAAAATAATAATTTATATACAAATATATGTATGTATAGTATATATATAAACATACACTTATTGTTACACATATCCATGCATACAAAAATAATAATATACATACAAATATATGTATATTTATAAACAAATGTAAATATCCACTATATTTATTTTCAAATACTTATGAAGATAGACAAAGGCTGTTCAAAAGCATAAATTGTATTAAAAATATCCTGTTATTTTTTCAGGAGGTTTCAAATTGTCAATAAACTCGTATATGTATTTTTATTTATAAATTGAGAAGGTTATTTTTTTTTTATCAAGTATTATGATTAGGAAATTTCCTGATAGCCCTAATTGACCTCGTGATCATGTAACGGTGATGTACCAGTTTTCTTACTGTTGCACAAAAGTGGCAGCAGGTCAAATGCTTTATGAATTGATTATGATGGTTTTATTATATTGATTAAATACAAATTTTTCTTTTTCTTATAAATGGTGCTGAAGGGGGGTTAAATCTGAATTTTATTTACTATAATAGTATATACATTTACATATAGATACATGTAGTTACAATATATTTCCTTTTATGCTTTCCATATGATAAAAGTGCAAATTTTAAGTTTTCTGCAGCTCTGTTATTTTTCAGATTGAATGAAAACCAAGAATGAGTATTGTTGTAAATATGTCATTTAATAATGACACAAATAAAACACATGAAATTTAGGAGATCCTATGACTTTCAACATTTTGTATCTACACCTTATTATGGATTTCCCAAAAATTAAAATAACATCATGACAATGCTAAAAAAAACACAAATATATCAAACATTTAAGCTGAAAAATAAGGTGGCAACAAACAAAAGACCATTAGATAAAATAAATTATTAAATACACCCCAAAGTAAAGTTTAACCTGAGGGACGGTTGCACGAGGTGGCGGAGGGTATGTTTTTCTTACAAAAATGGTGTGTATAAACACTTGCAGCATCTACCAAAGACAACAATCACGTGCTAACGACTAATCAACGCAAAACCCAAAAACAGAGATTATGCATTACATAACGTCCTAGCTCCGAAACCTGAGATATACATAAACGTTTAAAAACCTATGGGGAAATTCCACTTTTTAATGCCATTTATTAACTCAAATGGCAAAGCACATACAATGTTATGCCTTTTTATGATCACTTTTACAAAGCTTATCCTAAGAAATAATGCTCACAAGCTTTAGAGCAGAGCTTAGTAATAACATTTTAAAGCTGACAGCTTAAATTAAGCATTTACCTGATAAAAGAGCACCAATTAGCCAACCTTGAATTTACTGCTGTTTATAAAGAATTTATTATAACTTTGACGTCATTTCAATGAAATGATAAAGACGTGATTTGATGACATTTTTACTATTGATGCCATTTAGTTAAATAATAAAATGCTTTCTTTGGTTGTTACTACGGGAATTAATGTCCCATCTATTACGCTGTGCGTAATGCTACCACCTCTTTAGAGGCTAAACGTACGGGAGCCAAGGTTACCACAACTGATTGGATGCTTCAGCGTGACGACGTTATGAAGGAGATCCTGGAGGCAAAATTCGACCAAGTGCTGGAATTCAAATAAAGCGTCCTTAAATCCAGTGAATCAACTCTATTCGTAGAAGCGGCATACGATGATTACTGGGGATCTGGGCTTGACATACGTGGCACCAACAACTCTTCTGTCACTTCCTGGCCGGGGAAAACGTAATGGGACGCATTGTTACCAGCATCGCCAGATAAAAAGGAGAGCGCGCCTTGCCTCAACCTAACCAGCCGTCTCGACCCGGAAAAACATGTAGTGTGACAAAATAACAATCAAGACAGCTTCTCCAGAATCTTCACATCCATTCAGCTAGTTAATGAAAGTTTGCATGAATGTTTTAAATGTATATTCATGAAACTGTTGAGGCCTAAACTCACAGAAAAAAGAACTAAATTATATACTTGGTTATCTGACATAAAAGCTGATGTTATATTATTACAGAAAACACATTGAAAAAATGAGGCATGCTATATTGCAAGATGGTTTGGTACTAGTATACACAGCTTTTCTGACTCACAATATAGTAGAGGAACTTCAGTATTATTTAGAAAAGATTTAAATTTTGAAATATTAGATATTCATAAGTCTTTTGATGGAAGAATGATTCTTATTAACTTAATTTTGGAAGAAAAAAGGCTTACAATAATAGATATGTATGCACCAAATAATCAAGCAGAAAGAAAGTCATTTTTGTTAAAAATCAATAAATGGATAGCCAAATATTCTTGTAATATTGACAATATTATTTTAGCAGGAGATTTTAATTGTAATTTAGAGAAGACTGACGAGTCTAGTATTAAAAATTTCAAATAATATATTAAACAACAATAATTTGATAGACCTTTGACGCGACTTCAGGTCACATGATGTAGGATATACTTGGTGCAATGTGGAAAACGTACCCAAAAGCAGAATCGATTATTTCCTATATCAAAATCCCTAATATTTCCAGTCAAATATATAATCCTCCGAGAAGTACCAGGGTTACATTCAGGGGGAGCAAGAATGTCAGATCACAAATGTATTAAGGTTAACTTTGACATTGATGTAAATATAAGAGGTCCAGGATATTGGAAATTAATTCTACAAGATAATTTTTTTGTAAAAGAAATGAAAAAAAATTATTAAAGATTTTAAATTAAACGAAAATCCTCAAGCATCTCTGGAGGAATTAAAAATTTAAATGAAAGACTACTCTATAAAATATAGTAAAACTGTTAGTAAATCATGTAAACGTCAAATCATTCATCTAAGAAATGAAATAGCAACTACGGAGAGATCAAATTCAAATGATATTGATATGAATAGAAAAAGGAAATTAGAATCCGAATTAAAAGAACTGATCAATAAAAAAGCCAAGGGTGCCCAAATTAGATCCCGTGCGAAGTGGATAGATGAAGGAGAAACACCTCATTTTTCCTTAAACTTGAATCAACTCGTCAAAATAATAATACTATAAAGCGTATAAAAAATGGTGACCATATAACTACTAATAGTATTGATATCTAAGGGGAAATGTGTGATTTTTATATTAAATTGTATAAATCATCAATTATTGATAATAACAAAATCAAAACTTACTTGGAAGCAACTAACATAACTCAGGTAATTAATGATAAACAGAAAATATAATTAGATGAATTTCCGACAATGAAAGAATGTGATGAAATGTTTGAAATGTTGAAATGAAATAAATCGCCAGACCTGGATGGGTTACATGTACAAGGTGAATTTTATCAAATCTTCTGGAATGAACTAAAACTGCACTTCCTCAATAATCTAATATACACTTTTAACAAAAAAATGTATGATATTCTCTCAATGTCTATCTTTAAATACTCTTATTCATAAAAAGGGGGATAAATCAGACCTAGCAAACTATCGACCAATAAGTCTATAAGTCTCACAAATACTGATTATAAGATATTAGTGATTATACTAGCTTATAGACTTCAAAAAGTATTAGATCTACTAATTAGTAAAAACATCAGTCTGCATATATAAAAGGAAGATACATAGGAACAAATGCAAGAGCAATTTTAGATATATACTGAGCAAAATAAGTTTAGCAATTAAAGATATTTAGTATATCAAGTAGAAAAAAGTAGACCCATAATTTATAATGTAATTGAAATGATAAAAATTTTCTTTGTATAACAAAGAAAAGGCAATGGTTTAGTTGAATCGAAGACGATTTGTGTTTGCCCCTGCTATGCGTGATTGTTGATGATGTTGAGTAAGTGATAGTGCTTTGAGAGGTCTATGAGCTTGAACAATGGCTGAACGTAGCCTGTTTCCTACAAATTGCCCGCATAACCTCACTCCAGTAACACGGCATAACTCTTCTGCAACTTAAGGAGCAGCCATAAAACTGTAACGTCACGACGTTGTAACAGTTAAACGATCATTGCAAACCGTCGTTTTTCGTGGACGTCCTAAGCGCTGGAGATTGATTATGTGTTCAGTCGTTCGGAATCAGTTCGAAAGTCGGCATTTGGGGGACTGATGCAAGCAATAGTGTTCAGCGACATCTTTTTGTGAGTAACCAATTGTTAGCATCCCTATAGTCCTTTAACGTTATTTTCGGATAGTCCTGGTGTTTTTGGAATCAGACGTTTTTGCAATTTTTCACCGGTTTTCTTTAACAACCATGCTCAGAAGGTTTTTCTGGAGAAAAAATATTCTCGGATCATGTGCGTTCGAGCGTAACCTTTTGTTCTATTGAATTGTCACAACGTTGGATGAAGCGGTTTCTGCGGGTCAAATTAAAAAAAGAACTACGTCGTTCGTTATCTTTATCTCTATTGTTTTTAAGAAGAAGCATAATAAAACAATAAAGAAAAATATTTTTAAATCATACATACGGAAAAGCAATTGCTAAACTTATTTTGCTCAGTATATTTAGATATTGTAAAAATAAAAATTACGATGACAACATGGAATTTTACTTTTCTTAGATTTTCAGGAAGCTTTTGATTCAGTAGAGTGGAATTTCATTTTTGAAACCTTGAAACGTTTTAACTTCGGGGAAAATTTTCTTCAGTGGATTTCAATTTTGTATAAAGAACCAATCTTTAAACTTAAAGATTATGGATGGGTTTCTCAAACGTGCAAAATGGGAAGGGGCATAAGACAAGGATGCCCTGTTTCTTCAATGATCTTCCTATTTGTTGCAGAAATTTTATCAATAAAGATAATTTCTGACAAAAAAATTATTGGATTTAAAACTCCTAAGATGTCAACTGATATTAAAATAATACAACACGCTGATGATGCTACATTAGCATTCCCCGATAAAAAATTATTTAAACAAGCAATTACATGTATAAAAATCTTTGGAAATATATCTGGGTTGACTCATAATATTAGTAAAACTAAATGCACGTGACTAGGCAATCTGAAGGATGCAGATCATAACATATATGGGATAAAGGTTAACAAAGAATGTATTAAGGTTTTAGGAATTCACGTTGGTCATGATATAGAGAAATGTATAGAGAAAAATTGGGGAAAGAGAATTAAAGAGCTCGAAAGACTTTACGAATCATGGAAAAAAAGAAAGTTGAAAATGATACATGTAATAAAAAAATCGTAACAAAAACTAACTCCTATAGGTTTATTTTACGTGGAATACAATGTGCATTGTATCAGAATACTACATGTAATATCCAATTCCTACAGGACATGAAAGATTATTATTGGAATTTAAGTACAATACAATAAAAATGTTAATAAATCTTCGAATGTTCGATATTTGAGTTGTGATTCTAATTTTTTATCACATTATACATAAGACCTGATGTTTTAATTTTTTTCCTTACCCTCAAAATATTTGAGATTATGATATACATACATGTACCATCTCCATATATTAAAATTCCTGTGAATTACTATACAAATAAGGCGTTTCTGTTAATCGTAACCACTCACAGCAAACTCTGCATCTGTGCAGGCCTTCTCTTAGTGTACACAACTCCATCCCAATACAGCGTCGGTCGCCGCTACAAAATCCGACACATTTGTTGATGACAGTCGAGAATGACGTTCCTTTAGCCGAAAACAAAACTTGAAAGTTGTCTGACAATGACCCTAAGCCTTTAGACTAAAATGCCGTTGAAAGTAATGAACATTGCAATAACACATCGGCACAGTTAGGAAAATACTCATGTGATAACTTTGGTATTTCATCTTTGGTAAAACTTCTTGATAGAAATAGACACTTGGTATGAAATTAGAGTGCTGAAATATTGATAGAAAAAGATTGTCTACGACAGTTTTAATGGGCAGATTGATGCCTTGCAGAACTATTTAATCTGAGAGAAACGTATTTTATTTTCTTTTATTGGTTTCTGAAGTTGACTGTGATATCTGAGCTGGAACTTTAATGATGTACTTAAGATAATTACTGCTAATTAGTTCGCTCAAAGCATACAAAACTCATTTGATTTAATCCCAAGAATTAAAAGAAGAACGCGGGATATGTTGCTGTTTATTGGTTATAAGTACACAGGTCTTTTCTCCTTGCTGGAGAGTTTATTTGGAAATCTAAAATCTTGTTTGGTAAAACCATATAGTCTCCTATTATTCTCTCTAGCTATATCGTTACCACAATCACAGTTAATTAAGATTGGACTTCCTACATTAAAACCATTTCATTGGAACATATTCAAGGTAAATATTCAACCTGATTGAGAAATCTAAACAGGTATTTTAATATGTTTAAAGAATATAAATGATCAAAATTTAAAACAATGTATAAATTTTTTCTTTTATTTTCACCCTTTATTCAAATTAATTTATAACCTGATCTTTTTTTCTTATTCTTAATTGATCCAAAAAGTAATGAGTATTCCCATTTGCAACTCAAAATGCAATGTAACTGTGTACAAAATATCTAGTGAATGACTTAACCTAACATCCAGGTTCCTCTAGGATTGCAGATGATACATTTATTTGTAACTTTACAGCTTTGCTTCATTTTGTGTAGAAGGCACAATAAGATAAAACCAAAAAAGGTTATGATGATCGATTACAACTCATTATTTTAAAAAAAAATTAAAAATGAAACATATGGAGGTAACGAACAATATATAGGCTCAGCAATCCATACACTACTACAAAATAAGAGTAGAGCAAAGTTGGACATAAAAAAAAACATCACAGATGAGATCAGGAACCATAGAGGAGTGAGCGTATTCTACCATCAATCATCATTCCCAACACAAAGGTAGGAGAGTGTTGAATCAGAAGTTGAGTTTGTCCATGCATGCAGTAGGTCACTTTTGCTGCAGTGAGGGGTCTTATCTGCGGTTTCAGAACAAAACAGATATATTAGAGAATGCCCGCTTTGATAACCAGACAAGCGCATACATTTTTGTAAACATAACAGTTACATAACCGTTTACATATTGCTTTTACATGTATTCTTACAATTCTTTGTATACCATCTTAAACTGATAGATGTAATTTATATTGTCTGCAATCGAACCAAAGAGACAAATTATTCTTCTGCGTTTAATTGTTATCGCTTCGATCTCGAGATATTTTTTTACAGATCTCATGCATTACAGATCACGAGTGTTTATACGGCGGCTATGAATCAGATTATTAAACTTTAATTCTGCGCTGTGGCGGAATCTTAGGAAATTCACAACTGCATATAACTATCAATGAAGTCATTAGCTGCTTCATTTAAATTTCAAGTGTTTTCAATGTATTGATATGGGAAAACAATTTTTTCTTGGTAAGTAATGTGTTTAGATTGCATTTCATCCAATCTTCTGGCCCTTTTGAAGAACTACATTTCTTGAAGGGGGCAATAGTTTTCCATTTATGATTTCTATCTCAGAGCAGTGATTACGTCGAAACACGAATTGGTCAAGTACAATATCAAAATATGAAACAGAGGTGTCAGACTCAGTGGAATAATTTCTAAAGCTCCCTGGGATGGATATGCCGTCTCGACATAAAAAAGGGAATTCTCTTGTTAATTGATAATACGTCGTCGATATATCTAAATTTCATAATATATTGTGATTGACGTTTTTCATACTAATTACATGTACTAGTCCATTATTTATACACTGAATTGCATGACAAAGAATTTTTCTCATGTAATTTCCTAATCTAGACAAGGAGCATATGGCAGGTGTGATCGGTCAGCAGGGGATGCTCACTCCTCTAAGGCACCTGATCCTACCTCTAATATTTTGGAGGTCCGTGTTGGCTCTGCTCCTATTTTATATTGTTTTATGGACTTTTGATGTTCGTTTTCTCCATATGTTTCAAACAACACTTTCATTTCTTCATTAGCTGTTTTAAGGGTAAAAAAGATTATCATTTTTGTAATAAAAAGAATTGTAACATTCATTATTCACACTAAAATATTTAAAGTTTTCGATAGTTTGTTTATCAGTGAAGCTGCAATATTGACAAAAATGATTTGCATCATTTTTTTTGGTTCGTGACAAACTTCATCATCTATTTTTAAACAGATACTCTTAATTTCCTAATTCATTTTTTTTAAGACCAAGGTCTCTTGAACACTGCCATAATTTAGAAATATATTCTGTCCTTGGAACTTTAATGTCTCTGTATTTGATTTCTGATTCTGCAGTAACTTTTGCAATGCTTTTTTCTTTTCTTTCTATTTTTGTTTTGCTTTTTCTGTTTTGTATAGTAAAGAGACTCATTTTCTGGTCTTTTACAGGATAGACGATGTAAGCCATGGTTAAGTTCATTGTTTAAGTTAAACTTCTTCGTTGTGTGTTTATCAATAGTTTTTTTTTCTACGTAATAAATCTGTGTGTTTATTTTCAAGATAGGAACTGCGCATTTAAAACAAGGACGATAAACCTCGACACCTTTTTGTAGCACGCTATGAGAGTTATTTTTTTCTTTGTATTTTCAGGTAAGTTTCTGACTCAGTTGATTTTTTTATTTCTTAGAATATAATTATAAAACTATTCTAGGTTATACAATCCTTGTTACATTGGGATAATTTTAAGCCTAAATGCATGAAGTTAAATACTAGGATTGGAATAAGATTATATTATGCACGTAAAATATTTCTTCTGACTTATTGAAAATAAAATAAAAGACCCCTCTGTGTCGGTAACAGCTTACATCCCTTAACTGGCAAAGTTGCAGGGTTTTTTTTTTCAGGTAAAACAGGTCAACTTATTTCTTGAGGAAACGCTTTAAATATATCCACACACCCATGTTGTTATGTAAATAAAGAGAAAGTAGGCCAAATTCAGATACCGGTATATGTGGTGATAGGCGTTTGCGATCGAAATACCTTACATGTTTTCATTTGTTTTTTTATTATAAATATTACATTTATTATTTACACATACATGCAAAGTTTTTTATTGTGTAATTTATTGTGTAATTTTAAAACAACGCGCAAAATAAGAAATACACAATGATCTTTTAACTAGCATAAGACATAAATTAAGTCGGTATGGTGATCAAATCTACTATAACTCAAGTCCGTTGTTCAAGAATTTGATCAAGTGACCATTTTCATTTCATATCCCGATCAAACTTTACAAGAGATATCTTATTTCTTACGTTTGTAATTGATATACGACAACGTTAATCAGGATAAAGGCAAATTGATTGTAAAACAGTCTTGTCTGTGTATGACAGCTTTTAGATATACTTTAGTTTAAGTTTATCAAATGTAAGTCATATGCAATATACGATATAATATATGAAGAATGAAAGCACTAGAGCCGCCGTCCAATTAAAGGTAAACAGTTTCGCTTTGTCAAAAATAGGTCAATGTGCAGGGTCAATGTCAAAAGGTAAAAATTGTTGGCATTTAAAAAATAACCAGGTTAAAGAATGGAGAGGTACTCAAAAGAACGACCTTATCACAACTACATTTATCATATTTATTGTGGAAATGTTAAGTGTATTTATTTATTGTGATAGATAAGAACATGTTCATAGAGAAATACTTTATTTGGCTTATTCAACATTAAACTATTAACATAGTTTAAACGTTGATCTTTTGTCGTTATCAATCAGAAAAAAAACACAACTATTAGAATTTTAACTATACAGATTCCTTGAGTTTTAGTAATGATATTACCATGTTATTATTATTCAACAAACTGAATGTATGGAAAATAAAAACGGGGAAAAATGTCTACACAGACTTTTTGCCCTGAAATTAAAAACTTTTACTGTGGTTCAGTCGGTAGAGCGCTTGTTTAAAAATCAAAATGTCGTAGCTAGGTTCAACGATGGCCGACGCTTATGAAAGTCAACACAATAAAAGAAAGTGAAAGTCTATATAAAAAAGTTAGTGAAAATCATTCATATGACATTTAAATAACCGATGCTTGTTATCAGGGAATGCGTTTGAACGATAAAGATCCCTCGTTGTTAAATGTGCCTGAGTGCAAGTACTTTTCAAATTTTAAAGCTTTCCACCAGTTTATAATTTTAAAATTGGATGTAAAACAACAAACAATCAAATATTCAAATCTTGAAAGTAACACATTGTCTCCTTAAACTTAACTTTTAAAACTACAATCATGATGCCCTTTTATTTAATAAAATAATCAAATCTTTTAACAAAAAAAAAAAAAAACTAAGTGTAATAGATAGATAGAATTTTGTTTTTGTTGGTGTAACATGCTAATTCCCCTCCAGATTCAGATTTGTCATGATATTGGCAATGCCAGTTACACAAAAAGGTACACTGAAATCAGGGAAGATCAACATTGTTTACAATTACTAATTAATATGAATCGCAATGGTTTGAAAGCGACATTTCTACAAAAGGTTGTTAAGCAGCTGATGACAAGACGGAAAGACGCCTTTATTTACATGTTCATAATTAAATTTAGATATTTATAATGTACACTGTACTTGTAAAATGAATACAAAGTCAATATGTATGTACACTTAATGGCATAAATTACATGTTTCGCCACTTGCAAATATATGTGACATTACTAACGCATGTTAGAATATGTCACATGTATTGAAAAGTCATCGAAAATTTTATTTTCGATTTTTTAGCTATATTATTAGGCGTTTCAGGAAGATGTAGATTTCAGGAATATGGATATTATTACGATTACGATGATGGATTGTATAAGAAAGGTATACACTACAACTATGTTTACTGCAGCGGCTACTGTAACTATGAAAGCAATTCCTGCGACTATGTTTACCACGTTTCAAGCAGTGTGTAAGTGTATTTCTTACAATTTCACTGTATTCAACTAATATAAAGTGTGTCTTTGGACCTTTGATAATAATTTCTTATTTACACCATTTAAGGAGTGTTGGAGCCATTATTGGTGCAGTCGTCGGTGGTTTAGCTGGCCTGGCAATACTGGTCGCAATTTGTGTAGTGGTGGCTTGTGTTTGTGCTAGGCAACGTAGAAGTCCTGGTCAAGTTATCTATACCAGTCATCCTGGAAACACAACGGTCGCATACAACAATAGTGCGTTCCTTAAAAAATATTTATTTGAAACGTTTTATCTTACATAAAATGAGGTTTACATGCGGTAATGTATATATCTTTAAAAAAAGACACTTAAGCAGATACTGTAAACGTGGTGCATGTTTTTCTATACATATTGAGTGACCATTGTTTAAAAAGGGAGTTAAAACAGATATTTTTTTCTTATTCTACAGCTACAACGCAGTATCCAGTCGGAGTTCAACAGCCTGTGTATACAGTTTCTACAATGAATGAAAACATCACCAAACCCCAGTAAAAGAATTGGCATAAAATGAGCAAATAAATCGAAGACTTCTTCTCCTAAAAATATGCAAACTATAAATCACCTGTTTTACACAAGTTATTAATATATACCCTATTAAAATTATTTGTTGTTTAAGCAGTCTGCCTTTCGAAAAACTAATATTTAAAATAGCTATCAGATTCTGCTGAAAGGTCTCTGAAATTTTGTTTTTTGTGTATATATAGCGATCATTATTTAAGGTTGTTTTCCAATACTACTCGGTATTCCTGCTGATCATTGTTATAAAAATTTACCTTTTATTACAATATAAATATCTACTAGATTTATTTTGAAATACTTTCGAGGATGGACAAAGGCTGTCCAAAAGCATAAATTGTATCAAAAACATCCTGTTTTTTTAAGCATGTTTCAAATTTTCAATCTACATTTTTATTTATCAATTGAGAAGAGTCTTTTTTATCGGGTATTATGATAAGGTTTTTTATTGTCCTTTATTGACCTCGTGATCACATGGCGGCGAATTACCAGTTTTCTTACTGTTGCACTAAAATGGCACCAGTCAAATGATTAACGAATTGATTATGATTGTTTTATTATATAAATTAAATTTTAAATTTTATTTTGCTTATAAAAAGGTGCTGGAGGGTTGTTAATTCTGAATTTTATTTGCCATAATAATATCTACATTTACATATGCATTCATAAATTCATGTAGTAACTATATATATTTCCTTACACGTTTACAAACCTTAGGGGAATTACACATTTTATTGCCATTTATACAAAATATATTTAAAACCGTTTAAAACCAATGCGGACGAAATACAGTATAGAAGAGTGAAAACTACAATCAACTAATTAACTCAAGTGGCAAAGCACATACAATGTTATGCCTTTTTAAAATTAATTTTACAAAGCTCATCAAAAGAAATAATGCTCACATGCTTTTAAACAGAGGTAAATAATAACATTTTAAAGCTTTCAGCTTAAATTAAGCATTTATCTCATAAAAGAGAACCAATTAGCCAACCCTGAATTTACTGCTTTTGATAAGGAATTTGATTTTGACTTCATTTCAATAATAAAGAAGTAATTTGATGATTTTTTTTGTTATCTATGCAATTTATGTGAATAATAAAATGCTTTCTTGTTTGTTAGTACGGGAATTAAAGTCGCATCTATTGCAGAAAAAATACACAACCCGCCTACGCTGTGAATGTAATTTTTTTCTGTCATGTCTGCAACATTAATTACCGTACTAAGAAATAAACGGAAAATATTCAGTGGATTTAAATATAATTGCATAAAAAAAATAAAGTGCTTGATTTTTTTAAAAAATATTTTATTAATTGAAAATAGGATAACAAGATAACGTGGTGGCAATGACATCCGCTGATGTCTGCCTATATAACCCTCCATAGTGGTGTCAGTGGCTCCGTAGATTACATAGCAACATATATGTACTAGTATTTGAAAAAAATAATTAACAATATTTAAAACAATAGTGTATATAATAAAATTGAATATTGACATAAATTTCATTACAAATTGATAATTATAACTTCATGTTGCTGGGGAAACACACAATAAGCAATGTAAAACTCAGAGCAACATGAATTGTTAAAGTGATGGCATGCAAGAAAATACTTATAATGATCCTTTGTGACCTTTCTTCCAATGCATGTAGTTTCTTAAAGACATCTATGTCTCTGCTTCATCTGTGCTTTTAATTTCTAAAATTTCGCTTTTTATAATACCTTCGCTGCAGCAAATAATAGAATGGCTAATGTACCAAAAAGAAGTACAAACTCTAACTCTTGATTCCCGCCTACATTTTTCATCCATTAAATTCAATATAAATGGTAGTTTAGCCATTAAACCTTTGTTAAATACAAAGAACAGTTCTATGGTAATTGATTAATCATTTTAATTCCAGTGCTAGATAGTAAATTATCTTTAATTCCAGCTCTTGAAAAAAGGGGGTAGACAATATTTTCTAATGAAATCGAACTTTCAAGAATCACCATAATTTTAAATAATCTTGAAGATGATAAAATGTATCTCATATCTTTTCTTATGTTTTACGCAAATAAATAAAATGTATACATTTAATAAAATACAATTATTTAGTAGTAAATAGCTTTAAAATTGGTGAAAAATCAGCATTTATTTCGTTTTGTCTATAAACATATGTTCCCCCCGTGAAACACAAAAAGCTTTGGTATAAATTTGTAAAATGAGAGTCCATATTACCTGTAAAAAGGAATTTTTGTTTAACGGGGGGGGGGGGGGTTTAGAAATATTTTCCGTTTTCCGTTGATTTCTATAGTGAAAAACACAAGTTTTACCAAAATTATAGAGTTATCTATTTTTGGTATCCCAAATAAGTATGTTTTATGAAAATTTATATAAATATCTATTAAAAATTTGAAAATTGTTCGAATATGTTTACTTTTTAATATTGACTTAGAAGTAGGCAGGAGAACAATACTATCCTTCGTAGTTCTTAAGTTTTCCCCCTCCAATTCAAATTAGTTCATACGAGTGTTAATGTAAATGTTTAAATTTCTGTTAATTCTTGGATCCACGCCTCGGCTGATCCTGATAAACTCGCATTGACTTACATGTAGTTAGAATTATATACATAAAACTATCTAGTGCTGTGACCATCATTTTCGCAACAAAAAACGTGTATGACTACATATTATGATTATATATTTTGAAGACCCACAACCACCCAGATGATCTTGCTGTGACGCAGTAGTATGTCTTATTCTCTATGATTATTATGCAGCTTGTTTTCCTTAAGCATTCATGAGACAGATCGCTTATTATTTACATATATTTAAAAAATGCCTTATCGTCAAGATGACCACTCGGTGCTCCTCGGGTGGATCGTGCCCCGCACTTTTTGTATAGAGCGTATCTATAGGAGTCAACCGGGGGTTACCGATGGATTAATGGCAGCTCGAGAGAGATGACAATACTGTATCTCAGAGATATACGTACAAGAATCCATCTTTAAAGATTTTTCTTACCTAATTAACACATGATAAGTTTGTGTGTTTATATTCAAGAAAAGGTACTGCACAGGTAAAACAAGACCGATCGATAAACTTCAACACTGCCACATTTTTTTAACCACGCTATGAAAGCAATTGTTTTCTTTACATTTTCAGGTAGGTATCAATTCATCTATCATTTCTTAGGATATAAATTTAAATCTCTACGAGGAGAAACAATCATTGTAAAACTGGTTCTTACCTAGATAAGATTATATCCTGGCATCCGAATGAGATGATATGATTTACGTATTTTTTCTTACCTATTGAACATCGATAAAGACACCGCCCTTTTCTCTCCTTCTCTTTTTCTCCCTCAGTAACAATTTACATCGCTTAATTGTCAATGTTGCAGGGGTTTTTTTTCAAGCGAAAGAAGTCAATTTATATTTCAAAGAAACGCTTTAAATATATTCACATACATATGTTGTTAGACAAATAGAATAGGCTAGATTCATATATATGTACTGAAAGTTGTTCGATATATCTTACTTATTTTTATTTCTTGGATTTTTCAATTCTGAAAAATTAACAAGTGACATATGTATGTAACTTTTTTTTTTCAAATTTTAGAATTAGAATACAAAATGCAGGAGAATAGTCCTGATATTTCATTGGGATATGACATGAAGTCGGCATGTTATCAAAGATAGATCTTATTTCTTGAATATTTAAGGAATGACTCTAATTCTTGGCCAAATTATCGAGTATAATATGGTTTGGGTCAGTTTACGCTTTATAATCCGCGAAGCGAAGTAACGGAAGTGATGGGAAGCAAGGGGAGGTCAAAACTGATACATAGATCTAGCAGCCATGATGCTTGTTTACATGAGGTAAGATCGAGTAACTGTTTGAAATTAAAGGTACATTCATTAAATCTGGAATTTTCCATGAATCCCAAGGACTGGAAATAAGGGATTAATGGATACAGATGATTATGCTGGTTGTCAAGGGGGTGTGTCCCCATACCAAACCAGATTATACAAAATGTTATGCGTTCCTTTTTGGAAATCAACCAATGAGAGGCAAGAATACAAGCAAAATTAAATTATATCATTATAAAGTCAACTTTGCTATTGATATACAAGAAATGTAGAATTTATTAGGATAAAGGTAGATTTGTCTTCATCATAATCAAGCAGCAGTTACATAATGGAACAAGTAGTGTTTGTAAAACGCTCTTGCTCCTCTATGATAGCTTTCAGCTAAAGTTAATGTTTTTCAAATGGCAGTCATAGGAAGAATAAACAGTATTAATGCTCTAGCACCATTCATGTAAAAGTTAAGTGTGTATGTTTTTTTTATCAAAAGTAAGTCATATTCCAGGTTCAAAGTCAAAAGACAAAAAATTCAAAAAGAATTTATGTGCAGCTAAGTTGTGATAAGGCCATTCTTTGTGTATCAACATACTTGACCTCTTCATGATCACTTTTAAGTTTTAAGTCAAGTTTGAGAAAACTGAGCTTTTTTACTTCATTTTTGTATTTATTAATATTGCAATAAGACCTTTTCATGGAAATGACTATTCATGACCTAATGACCTTGACTTTTGAGTTTGACCCATGTTAAACAATTATCCTCGAATATAAATTTTGATTATTCCCATTTGTTGATACCTAGGGGGAAATGACAGCATTGGAATGACCTGAATTACAAGTTATATCCATATGCTTCTATTGATTCAATTTGTTTACGAATCTCTTAAAATGAGTTTGCCAATTATTTAACTTTTTTTCAAGTTTAAAAATTAATTCAAAATAAGCTTCAGAGATAAACACTGGTAAACAAAAACCTGAAAATTATGTCGTGTGCATGTATATTCACCGACTAAACATTTATATGAGCTTTGAGAAATGTTCATTTATTTGTAAAAGTATTTATTTATTTGAAAATTTTAAAAATATCTTAACCACAATTAGCATTATACAAAATTGATCATCAGAAAAATAATATGTTAAACATCTAAGTAGGGTTTATCAAAATTAGTCACGCTATTTGACAGGAACATAATATTGTACGATAATTAGTTCGTTCTTCATTCAATTATGTAGGTTGCGCTTCATTCATTTAATTTAGATTTAAAAATAAAATACAAAAAAAAATGTTTGTTTAGCAAAAAAGATTCAGATAAAAACTTTAAAAACGAAATTTACACGTTTCTAAACGCACATCACACACGATTAAAACAGTAGTCGATTGGGTCTGATATACGCAGATCATGCACGATACACGAACGATTCTACACGATTGGTTTGTCAGCAATAACGTTGAAGCCACTGTATACATTGAATATTGCATCTACCCGGAAACCAGAGAAGAATTCTGTACAGATTTCTTGAGTTGTAGCAATGATATTATCATGTTATTATTATTCAGCAAACTGAATGTATGGAAAATAAAACACGGAGAAAAATGTCTACACAGAGTTTTTTCCTTGAAATTTAAACCTTTACTGTGGATCAGTTGGTAGCGCGCTCGCTTGAATGTCAAAATGTTGTAGTTCAATGATGGCCGACATTTATGAAAGTCGACACAAAAATAAAGAAATTGAAAGTCGATACAAAAAAGATAGATGAGATTTCAATACCGGTTACCGAGACCCATTATCACAGAATGCGTTTGCACGATAAAGATCCCTCGCTGCTAAATGTACCTGTGTGTTAGTACTTGTCTAGATGTTACGCATTTTTACCGATATTTCATTTTGAGTTGGATGTAAAACAACAACGCAGTACAGTAAAGGTTACAAAAAAGGGGCGGAGCCTAATTTGTACGGGAAAACTTAAATATGACATGATACAAAATATACGTCATATAGCGATTCTTTAAAATACCACAAAATGAGTTGCTTTGCTAATTTAACTTTTAAAATCTAAAAAGTGCCGAGATCCTGTTGAAATACAGCATTTGGTCACAAAAATATATTTTAAACAATGAAATTGCAGAATTTAAATAAAATCACAGCACTTTTCAGAAACTACTATGCGTGTTGAAAATATTTATAAACTAAGCTTGGAATTTTAATTTGGATATGCCC